TTCCCCTAGACTAATCAATTTTAAGGGAGTAGATAGATATAATTTTAGTCCTGAACTACCTCTCTGTGAGTACAGCATATTGGCCATTCTCTGGCCTCAACCTCCTTCTTCTCTTTAGCAAGGGAATCATAGTGTCCTTTGAGAAAGATAGAGGAAAGTGACTAGAGATATGTATTCTTGCTTTCCTGCAAGCCACATTTTGATTCATGTGGACACAGATAATCCATATGTCAAAATAATTCAGTGCACACACATGCACACAAACACACACACACACACACACACACACACACACTACCTAAGTGATAAGCCTACATCAAACAGCCCACAAACTAATCATTCTTTTGACTGAATTATAATGTCAGGGAAAAAAATTATCAGAGACTGAAGAAAACTGGGCCCTTATTGAGTTGTGTGTAACTTTCCCTACTGACAATGAAGTCTATTTCTTGCTAGTGATCATCGTAAGGGAGGGGAAGGTCAGATGATTAGACCCTGGGAATTTGGACAGAATAAATGTAAAGGCACAAAAAAAGGCACTACTACCATACTTAGGAACATCAGCTTAATGCAGGAATTCCTATTCAGAGACTACATTGGGAGGATGAGAACTAGAATGAAAAAGAGTCAGGATGCAAAGCCTAGAATGCCTCAAAACAAGCTCAAAGCCCAAGCCAGGCCAAGGCTATTAATGGAAGAACTGATAAGATTTAGTTCTCCTCCTTCTAACTGTAACAACCTCTTTGACAGGTACAACCCTTTAACAGGTCTTTTGGAGCCCAGGAAAGTTTCTGTCCTCTTTGAGTTCAGTTAATGACTTGGTATTCATTAGTAATTGCAGGTGGGGAATTCTTAATCAGTAGGAATCCTTGAAGATATTTTCATCTAGGGCAGAACTTTACTCTTTTAGACACATCCCTTTTTCCCTTGGCAGACTATTGTCACTAGTGCTGCCCATGACATGATAATCACAGCTCTGGAGCCAGATGTGCTTATAACTAGTAACTGCCTATGCCATCACACATACCCACATACTTATAAAGGGACGTATTCTGTTTTGTGCATCCCTTTCCTCCATCCCAGAAGCAGAGAACAATCAGGTGAGTACCTTCCTTTAACTCAATTTTACATTGAGGGGCGTAGAAGCAGAAAATTTCTTCCAGGAAAGTTAGAGTGTTGTTCAGGCCCTGTCTGCCTGGAGACAGAAAAGGGACCTTAGAAAGACTGTGGAACAGGCCTCGGAATTTTTCTTTGGTGTCTTAGTGCATCCTTGTCTTTATTGTAATTCCCTTTCCTATGGTCCATGACCTCATCACCTCTCACGGGTGATTTTTCAACAATGATTAACTATTGTCCCTGGCTTGAAAGCTTTTGAGATGTTTATTCAACACAGGTTGTCAAGGGCATTTTCCCAAACTCCACTCTCCTGACATCACTTCTCTGGTCTTTTTGGCTTCTACAATCTGTGTTCCTACTTTCTTTCATGCTGATTGTTATACTAATCCTTTTCTTTCCTGGAAGAAATTTTTTTTTCCTTTTGTTTTTCTTCTTCCTTACACTCTTTCCCCTCCTCTCCCCTTCCTTCCTCTATCCTTTCTTCTTTTAGGTTATCTCTTTGCTTTGAGACACTCTAATGCCTATTGCTTCTCTCTCATATTCCTGCTTTGAGGAACCTCTGAGACCTCTGTTTTTTTTTTCCTGTTGATGCTCTCCTTTCCTCTCTTTTATTTCCTACCTCTGGACACTGGCCTTTTAGATCTCTAATTGCTTTCCCCTCTTTTCTCTTTTATATATCTGAGATAATTTCTTCCTTATCTTTTCCTTTCCTTTTATAAGACCCCTGATCTTTTGGACATACATACTTCCCATACCATCAGAGATCTCCTTTCTTACCTCTTACTTCCTTGCTTGCAATTAAGGACTCTTTTCTCCTCACCTTTTTCTAACCACTCTTAGAGCTGGGTTGGCCTAAGGAATATACAGAAAGGGAGAGAGCTCAAGGACAATGGTTTAATATTTCCACAGTCCTAGTGTTAGCCTTTCTAATCATATTGTCACATTTTATATCATAAACCCAGAAATCTTGGACTACTCTCAAGGAATGGAAACTCTTCAGGTTTTTTCCAGGCTTTTTTTTTCCTAGTGAGTAAGGGAAGCCACCCGTTTTTTCCTACCTGTGCAGAGTAGAAATTAGTATGTAGAACATAGCACACAGTTTGGGGATGAGTCTGGAATACTCTGTTAGGATTGAGTTCTTTTTCGTACACCAGTGGGACTCTTTCTTAATTGGTTTCATTTGAATTTGGGTTCATTGTCTGGGAACACTTTGCACAATGGTTTTTTATAAGAGCCCACGGTGCAAAAATGAGCTATTTGTGTCTTTGAGCAGAAGGAAAGCGAATTATTGGGGGAAAGGAAGTAATACCTTTAGATCAGACAGACAGACAGACACACACACACACACACATATGAACACACACACACATACATACACACCCTGCCTACTCAGTTCAAAATGTTTATTAAGGGGCCAGTAGGTAAAAGGCAGTGTGGTATGTGCTAGGGATTCAAAGAAAGGTAAAAGTCCATCCTTGCTCTCAAGCAGCTAACAGTCTAATGGGAGAGAAAACATGAAAACAAAAATATGCAAACACAATATAGACAAGACAAAACTTCATTATGTTCCAATATTTTATTTCTCTTCTCCCAGTAGCAAATATTTTTGAGGGTACCAACATCTTCCTAGTCATCCTGGTTCACAAACAAGTTCTCATCTTTATACCTATACTCTCACTCCTCACATCCAATCTCTTGCCAAGACATCTCCCCAGTCAAAGTGAGAGGTGTTAGAGAATGTTATTTTTGCCTTTCTTTGCATCCCTAGCTTTTAGCACTGTGTTTGGCACATAATAACTGCAGAATAAATATTTATTGAATGACTGCCTAAAAAGCCTGTATGGGGATGGTCCATTTGACGTCTAAATATATGATAAAAGATGATCCTTGGTAACTGGTGTACAAGCTCTGATTATTTTTCAAGGTGGCCTTATTGCTTGTATATATTGAAGATGATAATATGTGCCATGATGTTATATTTCCTGTCCTTGGATGCACTTTGTCACCTACTTCATTTATATCATCATAGAGCACCTTTGACCCAGTCTTTTATTTAGCTCCAATTTCCTCTTTGTCTTCTGGATTAATTTATAGGAATAATAGCATTGTTAATACAATCCAATTCTATTAATACTGAACCCTTTTTCTGGTTGCTGCTTAACCATCTCACATTAGAGTAATAATACATAAGTTAATGGGTCCAAGTGGTCTAAAACCTTTGTGATTTTTAACACGTGTAGCCCTACTGTGCCTCACTTTCTTGTTGTCACCATTACCACAGAAGTTATTTGGCAATGGTGAGGGACATTTTGTATTTTCTTTATTTTATGGGTTTCCATGAACAAAGAAAGATTCATTCTATTTCTAGAACATTATTTGAAGATTTTTCACTGTGGTAGAATCAGCTAGAAAATGTGTTCCACTTGCAAAGACCTGGAGAATTCAGACTTACTTCTACACCAGAATGAAAATAAGCAATTTAAAAGTAATTATATGCACAACAATAATGGAATGCTATATATGTATAAGCTATGCACTTGATCAATACTTTATGAGATAATATTTGTGAAGCACTTAGCAGAGTGACTGACAAATGCTGGGCACTGTTTAAATGCTATTGTTATTATTACTGGTGGTGGTGCTGCACTGCTATTTTCACTATTACTTTTCCATCTCTTCTGCCTTTTTATTTCTGTCTTTTAAAAAATTTTTTATACTACTATGATTCTCATTTATATTGCTTTTCTTATATTTCTCTATTCTCATTAGACCTTAAACTAATTGAGAGCAGGAATTATCTTTTTTTATTTGCATCCCTAGCACCTTGAACATTACCTGGTATATAATTTGCATCTAACAAATGCTTGCTTATTAACTCCTTGATTCTTTATATTTTTTTTTATAGAACATTGATATTTTTATATGAATGTATAAAATTTACGGAACATCACTAAAAAGATGAACTTGGTTTTTGTTTGGGGATTTAAATAAAATTAATCAATGATTAATATTTTGGGAGATGATAACATTTCCTGTTTTTAAAGACATTTTATTTGATTCAATTATTAAATGATTTATATGATTTCTAAAGTAATTTCAACTGAGGGTGCAAAATATTTCTCACAATCTTTATTGCAACAAAAATGAAATAGATTGTCTTTTTCCCCACATCCCAGCTTAATATTTTCATCTTTTCTTTTTCTGAATGTAAGTTGCTAGATTTATAACTAATGAAGATAATGTTTATTAATGAATAATTAGAAATGAATATAATTTATAGTGTTTTAAAGCTTGTAAACCACTGGTCATATTACCTCATTTGATTCCCACAAACAGCTTGCCAAATACCTACTATTATAATTGTACTGAACAGTAAAGGCAACTGAGGATGGGAAAACTTGATTGTCTTGCCCAAGGTTACCTGATTTTCTGTAGTAATTTCTCATTTTCAGCTGTCATTTTTTATTTTTTGTTATTTATTTTTTGTTGATCACATTTCAGTAATTCTTTGTCAAAATATTTCTACAATCTAGTGTTTTGGAAGTAAACTTGTGAATTCATTCTTCTACCATGACAGTCGCCAGAAGAAAAAAAAAGGCTCTGGGTTGCAAGATGGACTTCTGGTGTCATGTCTGTGTTATTTCTGAATAATCTGGTAACTTTCACATCCTGGATACCAAGGAAAAATACAGGAAATACAACCAATTTCAGTGGTTTAAGCTCCATTGTATCAGAATTCAGCTGAACACAGAGGCTGTCCCAATGTTGCCCAAATGGAGCTGCATCCCATTCAGTACCAACATTTATAAATTTTACACTTCTCTCATTTTTCCCTAGGATTTGCCATCACTGACCACAGTTATTCTTCTCAAGACTTGGAGAAAATGAAGCTTAGTGACTTGGTGTTGGGCATTCTCTTCCTTATTCAGATGGGAGTTGGGATTCTTGGAAATTTCTTCCTCCTGGGCTTATATTGCCTTATTTTACTCATTGGTCATAGGCTGAGGCCCATAGAGTGCCTTTTTGCCAACTTAGCCTTGGCTAACTCAGAAGTGCTTCTCTCCAAGGGAGCTCCTCATATGATTGCCTGTTTGGGCATCAAAAATTTCTTGGATCTTATTGGGTGTAAACTTGTCATTTATCTTTACAATGTGGCCCGAAGTGTTTCCCTCAGCATGACCTGCCTCTTGAGTGGTTTTCAGGTCATCACCATCAGTCCCAATAATTCCAGGTGGGCAGAACTCAAAACCAAAGCCCCAAATTGTATTGTCCCCTCCTGTTTCCTCTGCTGGTGCTACTATCTGGTGATAAATTTTGCTTTGCTTGGGACTATGCATAACTCAAGGTATCTGACCAACAACACAGAGATGTGGAATCTAGGCTATTGCTCGGTTTTAGCTCCTGCCTCTTTTAATGCCATACTTTTTGCAATTGTCTTTTCTATTCCTGATGTTTTGTGTGTGGGATTCATGATTTGTTCCAATGCCTATTTAGTGCTTCTCCTACATAGACATCACCAGCAAGTGAAACATATTCACAATCTTCATCTCTCTCCCAGAACTTTGCCTGAGAAAAGAGCCACCCAGGCTGTCCTCCTACTAATGAGTACATATGTCTCCTTTTATTCCATTCATTCCATCTTATCATTTTACCTCTTTAAAATTGACAAACACCACCCCTGGCTCCTGACTGTCTCCGATCTTATAGCAGCATGGTTCCCAGCCATTAGCCCTTTTGTGCTTATCTTCTGTGATTCTCAAGTCTGTAAGTATTGGTATGCTGTTTGGCAGAGGAGAAGTTTCTGCCTCCTATGTGACACTTTCCCCAACTGTACCCCCTTCCAGCATTCTGCCCTAACACTATAATAAACAAATATCTTTCAGAAGCAGGTAGGAGAGGGGAAAGCACACTGGAATCTAAGCATTCTGGAACTTAATATTGGAAAGGACATCTGTGATCATGTATCCAAACTCTTTCTTCTTTTAGAATAGACTGTTCTAGTCTAGATATTGTATGTTCTGCTCTTAGTGACACATATTACAAGTGACATATACAATTCTTAAACTCATGTCTCGTGATTTCAAATCCTCTTTTCTTTACATTATAATAGCAATGTCAAACTCTGGTAGAAACAGAGGCAAATGAGGTATATATAAGTTTTCCTATGGGTCACATAATAACTTTGTTTTAAAATGTAATATTATCTGTATTTTATTTTAGTTTTGCAAATTTTGTTAAATATTTCTTAATAATGCTTTAATCCAGTTAAGTCATACCCAGGAGTGTCAAGAGTCACAATATGATACTCTGGCAGTGTTTTTGAAACCTGTATAAGATCAAATCAGTGCTTATTTTGTATGAACGATATTTTTCCTTTCTTTCTGCTCATCTTGAGTTCTCTACATTGCAAAGGTCTCTAAATATTTTGGGAGACAATATGATACCAAAAATAAGGTACTGAAATTAGAGGTAGGAATGCTTGGGATTTAATGCCAACTGTCTTTTAGGAAAACTTACATAACATTTTAAAAGTCTTGAACTTCCTGAATCTCAGTTTTCTCATCTACATAATTGTGATAATAATACTTTTTCTAATGTCACTGCAAGATTACTTTTGAGGCCAAAAGGGCCTTACTTAAAAAAAAAACTTTAAAATTTAAAACACTAAGTAAATATTTATTATTATTATTAAAAATAATAATTTGAGTTGGATTTTGCATTTTCAACTTCCCTTGAAGTCAACTTTTAGTCTGTTATAATGTCAGCCTCATGCTATACATATGTGAGAACCATGCTGAACAGCTTTTTACTTAGAGGAGATAGATTTCAAATACAAAATTATATAATAGAGATAGATTGATACCTACATGCACATGTACATAGGCACATATTAAGAGTTAGATAGAAATGCAGGTCTTGATAAAATGCTCATATATAGGTATAAGATACATATACATATAAATAGATCCATAATTAATACATATGAACATATTAACAAGATTTAGGTATTTCTCTAAATCTACCTAACATGAAAAGATCAAAATTAATAATACCTCCGATTTCTTCTCTATTGATTCATTCTCTATTGATTCTACAATGTAACTTAATTTCATGCCATATTTATTTATAATTGGGTTTTCATATATCTGGCTGGTTTTACACTCAGGAATCCAGCTGAGCTCATTCAAAGATAGTTTAGTTTAAAGGAAAAACTGTTATCTCTCATTCTGGTATCCCCTAGGATTCTTTATGGTTACCCCTTTGTTTAGCCTCACAAAAACCATCATCCTGCAAAGATATATTGTCTGTCTTTTCCTGTTTTTGTGTAGTTAAGGGAGTTTTTATCTCTTCCAAGGAGATCCCTAGTCTGTTAGTTGTGATCTGCTAGCAAAGACTACAAGATATAGATGGGCCCTCTAGAACAATTAATGTTCCTTAGTTGTTAGACAGGGTCATGATTAGCCTTATTTGAATACCAGGATACCTTAACCGAATTCGAGCCACCTTTCTCAGTAGAGCCAATCATAATGTTCACGCGCCAACACTAAAACCTAGAACATTTTTTCAATGTGGGTCAAAACCATTCTTTGTTTCATGCTAATGAATAGTGTCCCTTCCTTCTCTGGGAGTCACTGGCTTTGCTGAGGTTTCCAGAATGATCCACTTTGTTAAAATTATAAATGTCACCACTAAGAAACAGCTCTAGTACTGAGTCTGTAACACAGTCTACCTTTACTGCATTTACTTACCACAATATCTGTATATCAATCTCTATGGAGTTATCTCTATGTAACATCTGGCCATCATTTATTTAGATAAGCAATGCAGGAAACTTTGTGGCATTACTTTGCATACTTTTATGAGTGTTTTCTGATGGGGCAGAGAAGGAAAAGAATAATTTTAATTGAAAAAAAGGAATAGTATTAATATAGGGAATATATAATAAAAATAACAATAATATAATGTTAATAATATTATAATATAATAAATTATAATATAATTTGTTGTAAGTTATTATTTTATAATATATAATTATATATTATTTTATAATATATAATTATATGTTATATATTATTTATATAATTATGTGTAATATTATATAATATATAATGATAAATATGATAATATAATAATATAACAAATAATAAAATAAAATAATATTAATGATTAATAATAATAATAATAATAATAATAATAATAATAATAAAAAAATAAGGAGTACAAGTGAAAAAAGACAGCCCTATGAAATGGTCTCAGTTTCATTTACACTTGAGCTTCAGTAACATAGCCAGAAAATTATGATATTGGTGGAGATGAGGGGATAACAAATGCTTGGGAGGAGGTATCAAAATGGATTATTTTTGTTTATTTGGCACTCTACTGAGACTGGTAGCATAAGAGAATGACATTTTAAAAATTTTTCAGATTATTGCTACCTATTAAATATTATTTTCTTTTAAAATTGTTTTCTTTTTTAAATGAACCTTAGAAACTGAAGATATAATTCTGGGAAGGTGGCAGAGTGATAGATAATCTGAACAGTGTCATTCCCTTAAACCCTACAGATAATATTAAAAACACCTTGCCTCCTAAAATTGTGAAGTAAAGGATTTTAGGAAAAGGGAAATTTAAACAATCCTCTACAAGGTAATTAATAGAGGACAAATAACTGAAATCCAACTTACCAGAATAGAGATCTTTACGCTCACACCTCCACCTACTCCTTCATAAATAACCTGTGTCCACTTTAGAAAGTTTGTGATACTTATTTCACATATTGTAGAGTTAAAAACAAAACAAAACAAAACACAAGAATCTTATTTTCTGGTTTTTTTAGTTAATTAATTGATTTTTAGTTTTCAACATTCACCTCCATAGGCTTTTGAGTTTTAAATTTTCTCCCCTTCCCACCCTGCATCCCTCCCCAAGAAAGCATGCAATCTGATTAAGTGCTCTCTCTCTCTCTCTCTTTCTCTCTCTCTCTCTTTCTCCCTCTCTCTCTCTCTGTCTCTCCCTCTCTCTCTCTCTCTGTTTCTCTCTCTCTGTCTGTCTCTCTTTATGTATATCTATATCTATATCTATATCTATATATACATATAGTATATATACACACATTCCTATTAAACATATTTTCACATTAGTCATGTTGTAAAGAAGAATTAGAACCAATAGGAGGAACCACAAGAAAAAAAGAAACAAAACAAAATAGAAGAAAGAAAAAGAGAGCAAATAGTATGCTTGGATCTGCATCCAGACTCCATAGTTCTTTCTCTGGATGTGGATAGCAATTTTCCATCATGAAACTTTTGGAGATGTCTTAGATCCTTGCATTGCTGAGAAGAGCAAAGTCTATCAAAGTTAATGATCATACAAGACTGTTGTTACTGTGTACAATGTTTTACTGGTTCTGCTCACTTCACTCAACATCAGTCCATACAAGTCTTTCCAGGTTTTTCTGAAGTCTGCCTGCTCCTCATTTGTTACAGCACAATAGTATCCCATTACATTCATATACCACTTGTTCAGCCATTCCCCAATTGATAGGCATCCCCTCAATTTCCAATTCTTCACACCACTGAAAGAGCTGCTTATAAATATTTTTGTACATGTGAATCCTTTTTCCCCATTTTTATGACCTCTTTGGGATACAAGCCTAGAAGTGATATCCCTGGGTCAAAGAGTATACACATTTTTATAGCCCTTTTGGCATAGTTCCAAATTGCTCTCCAAAATGGTTGAATCAGTTCACAATTGCACCAAAAATGTATTAGCATCTTTTCCAACATTGATCATTTTCCTGTTTTGTCATGTTAGCCAACCTGGTAGGTGTGATGTGGTACCTCAGAGTCTTTTTGATTTGCATTTTTTTTAATCAATAGTGATTTAGAGCATTTTTAACGACTATAGATAGCTTTAATTTCTTCATCTGAAACTTGTCTGTTCACATCCTTTGCCCATTTCTCAATTGGGGAATTACTGGTATTCTTAGTACTCTGTATGTTTTAGAAATGAAGCCCTTGTCAGAGACATTGGTGGCAAAAATTCTTTCCAAGTTTTCTGCTTCCATCCTAATTTTGGTTGCATTGGTTTTGTTTGTGAAAAAACTTTTCAATTTAATGTAATCAAATTTATCCGTTTTGCATTTTGTAATGTTCTCTATCTCTTCTTGAGTCATAAATTCTTCTGTTCTCTATAAATCTGACAGATAAACTATCCCTTGTTCTCTCAGTTTGCATATAGTATCAGCCTTTATATCTAAATCATGTACCCATTTTGACTTTATTTTGGTATATAGTGTAAGATTTTGGTCCACGCTTAGTTTCTGCCATACTCTTCCAGTTTTTCCAGAAGTTTTTGTCAAATAGTGAGTTCTCATCCCAGAAGCTGGGGTCTTTGGGTTTATGAAATAATAGACTACTGTAGTCATTGACTACTGTGTCTTGTGTACCTAACCTATTCCACTGATCCACTACTATATTTTTAGCCAATACCAAGTAGTTTTGATTTTTGCTGCTTTATAATACAATTTAAGATACGGTATTTCTAGGCCACCTTCCCTAGCATTTCTTTTCATTAGTTCCCTTGATATTCTAGACCTTTCATTCTTCCAGATGAATCTTATCATTATTTTTTCTAGCTCCATAAAATATTTTTGATAGTTTCATTGGCATGGCATTGAATAAGTAAATTCATTTAGATAGAATTGTCCTTTTTGTTGTATTAGCTCAGCCCACCCGTGAATAACTGATGTTTTTCCAATTATTTAGATCTAACCTTATTTTGGTGAAAAGTGATTTGTAATTGTGTTCATGTAATTCCTCTAGGATGTGCCTGCGCTGACCACAATTTTTCTTAGCTACACTTG